GCCCGCCGTGAGGCTGACGGTACGGCCGGGGGCACCCCGGGGCACCGGAGGGAGAGACGGGGGGCGCCGGGGCCGCTGCAATCCGGGAAGACCGAGACAGGGCTGGGGTGGCCCCAGGAGTTTTGGGGTCTTTGCGCCTCCTTGCAGCCCCATGGTGGTCTGGCCCCCCCGGGGATGGGCTCCCCCGTTCGCCCTCGCCCGCGGAAGCCTCGTGCTCTCGGTGCTCCGTGATTGCCCCGCCGGTGCCAGAAACACTTCCGGCAGCTCCCGGCCGGGGATGCTCAGACCCCGCGCGTTTGGGTCACTGGTGGGAGCTGCTGGGGGGCTGAGGGGCTGCAGGGTCCCCTCCCCACACCCAAGGACTCCCGCTGGATGTGTAAGCCATGCACAGCTCTGAACAGTGCCGCTACCAGCCCCTCCCTCAGTGCGATTTTAGCCCTAGAAATTTGGGGCTTCCTCCGTCTGTAAAATACCTGCAAAGCCCCCAACAACAGCCTGGGAGGTGTCCCTGTCTCTGCCTCCTCCCCCAGCATGGGAGCAGCTGAAAAAGAGGAAGAGCTACGCGGGCCGGATCCTGCTGCCATTTTGCTGTGTTGGGGTCCCCAGCCCCCTGGGATGGGCAGCCCCATCACGGTGGGTGCTGGGGTGGGCAAGCAGTGTCACCCACACTGTCACTGCGTGCCCCTCATGACAAACACGGACCCAGAGGAGCTGGCAGGGACTGGTGGGGGCAGCCGGGCGAGTGCCCAGACCCTGCCCACTCTCCCAGGACAGTCCTGGGAGGGTATCCCTGCCTGGGGAAACTGAGGCACGACACATCTGGACGGTCTGGCACCAGCCCCCCAAGGCTGTTCCCCAGGATGGTGGCGTGGGGGGTCCTGGGGTACTTCCCTCTCCAGGGTCCCCGCCGTGCTGGCTGTGCCCTGACACTCACCCTTGCTCCCCAGGACCTCTCCCGCAAGGATTGCCTGGAGGCACCGGGCTCCAGCGTGGGGGAGCTGCCCCCAGGCAGCGCCAAGCTCAGCAGCAGCCCCAGCGCCGTGGGCACCCTGAAGCGCCCCAGCAGCCTGAGCCGCCATGCCAGCACCACCGGCTTCTCCCTGCCCACAGCCCCCCGCACCGTGCCCAAGGGACACAAGACCCCCACGTCCTACAGCCCCATGGAGGGCGGGGAGGGTCCCTTCATCGACCCCGAGGACAT